GCCTGCGTGGAGTCAAGTTCATTGATAACAGGAGGGAAGGTCCCAGCTTTCCAGATGCTGAGAAGTGCAGGAAGAGGCATCCTCAATTCTGGAGAGGCCAAGGCACACTACTCTATGCACAGCTACCACGTCTTTTGATTTCAGAAGATAACAATTTCTACTAAGAGGAACATAAAATCTAAAATTGTAGAAAGACAGGAAATGATGATGACTCAGTCTTTTGTTGATTTTCAGGTGGTTAATTCTCAGTTCAATTAATGGTCATTTATCTTTTCCCTGCTTAGAAATTGTTCAGTTCCAATGTTGAGAAGTTAAAGTCAGAAATGTTTTCTGAAGTGGAAAATGGAGAGAAGGAGAGCTAATTATCAAAGCACAGACAGAAAAGAGAGTTAGCAAATCAGCCAGCATTGTTTATAGAAATATTAAATATAAGACTTTGTTAGCTTTCACGAACCAAGTATTGAATGTTTAATTCTTATACAGATAATTGGGAAACTTACTTTTAGACTAGTAATCTGTCAATAGTTTTACTTGCTTTTGAAAAAATAAGGAAATTATGATATAACTATAAAGACGGTCCCCAACTTATGATGGTTCAACTTTCAACTTTGTGATGGTGCAAAGGTGACTCAGAGTCAGTAAACATCATACTTTGAGTTTTGAATTTTGATTTTTTCCTGGGCTAGTGATATACAGTATGGTACTCTCTTGTGATACTGGGCAGCAACAGTGAACCGCCGCTCCCAGTCAGCCATGCACGCTTCCAAGTGTAAACCGCTGATACACTTACAACCTTTCTTTAGCCATATAACCCTTCTGTTTTTCACTGTTATTACAGTGTTCAACAAGTTACATGAAGTATTCAATGCCTTATTATAAAATAGCCTTCATGATAGATGATTTTGTCCAACTGTAGGGTAATGTAAGTGTTCTGAGAACATTTAGAGTAGGCTAAGCTAAGCTATAATGTTCATTAGGTTAAGTGTATTATATGCATTTTTGACTTAGGGTATTTTCAATTTATGATGGGTTTATCAGAACATAATTCCATGGAAGATCGAGGAAGATCTGTATAGTGATGACACCTCTTGGTCCTGCAAAGTTCTGCTCTGTGGAGAGGAATGCAGTCAGAGAAGGCTAGGAGCAAACCCCTCTAAGTCAGGTCCTAAGATAAGGGCCATCCTCACCCAAGTCTAAGGCCAGCCCAGGATTGGGGATACGACACAGGATGTAGACGTAAGGAGTTTGGAGAAATGATGGGACATCCAGTTGAAAATTTTCTAGAGGGAATTGGAAATACCAGTTTGGAAATCAGGGTCGAGTATGTAGACATAGGATCTTTTTTTAGAATTGATAATGGAAGCCTGGAGACTGAGTGAAATTTCCATGGAAAAGTATGCCTTGGGGAAAAAAAAGGATGCTGGAAATGAACTTAGAAAATGTCTACACACATACAATTTATTGATTTAGATAACAATAATGTCCTTGCAAATTATTATTATTATTACCATAATAACAATTATAATTTATGGAACCACTAGGCATCAGGCAGTCTGTATGGATTAGTTCATTTTAACCTCACAATCCCTTGAAGTAACTTATGTGATTAGCCCTGTATTACAGATGAGACAACTGCTATAGCTTGATTACTTTCCTTGCATTTCTACTTAATAAATGAAGAATAGCAGCCATGGCAAAGAAACTGCTCACTTTTGCTCTCCTGTCCCATAGCGTACTCTCATTTATGTACAGACCTTCCTATGAAGAGTCTACAGATCTGCCATGAGGGCAGAAATAGGAGATTGCCTGAAGTGAAGGGAGTGCCTTTTTGGAAATTTGTTTTTGTTTAAATGACATAAAAATTGTTGACATTTATCTGGAAGCAAGAAAACCAGATTTACCTGTCCCTGTGTAGGTGGATGAACTAAACTCTCCTTCAGCTTCTCTCTGTCTCTGAGTCATTACTTAACTCAAGGAACGGCAGCAGCAGACAAAAGATGTGTTTCTAGGTGCTCAAGGACTTTTGTTGAATCATCAACTGACTCATGACATTTCTCACATTTGGCATTGCTAAACAAATTGTGCAGTCATTTGTACAATCCCTCAAGATGATATGTACTCCTTTTGATAATGCATGAAAATCGAAGTTGTTTTAGATATTTTATTATAAGCATTACACTGGGAGACACTAGAGAATGAACCCTTACTTCCCAGGCAATGTATTTTAACAACAAATGGTATTATTTTCAGTAACAAGTAAATGGTGCTGTACCTGTGAAAAAGAGTACAACAAATGTACTTACTATTAGATAATTATAGAAACATATATAGTTTTCTTCTCTCAGGTTAAAAAGTTTAACAGAGGGGCGCCCGGGTGGCTCAGTCAGTTAAGCGACTGCCTTCGGCTCAGGTCATGGTCCCACGGTCCTAGGATCCAGCCCTGCGTCAGGCTCCCTGCTCAGCGGGGAGCCTGCTTCTCCCTCTCCCTCTGCCTGCTGCTCACCGTGCTTGTGCTCTCCCTCTCTCTATCCCTGTCAAATAAAATCCTTTAAAAAAAAAGTTTAACAGAAAATTGAAAAAGATGTAGAGGTGAGGAATTTTAATAAATTGAAACCTGATGACATTCTACAATTTTTGCATACTTGGATCCCTTTTATTCTGTGATGCCCATATATAAATATAAGTAAGTGGGGATTATACATAAACATATATATGCATAATACAAAATTTTGAAATTGTTTTTGATGACTTGACTTTGTAAGTGTGGATCACTCAGGATGGGCTCTGTTATTGTAGAGAAATAAACAAATTCAATTTTTAAAGGCTTAGAAGAACAAACGCATATTTCTCACTCAAGATATATGTCTACAGTGGGTCGGCTAGGGTGCTAATCAAAATCTTTACAACTGGAGACCAAGATGAAGGAGTTTCTACCATCTGCAGCAAACTCCGTCAGTGGCAGTGGCAAAGAAACCTTGCAAATTGTGCACGAGCTATCAAAGCATCCACTCAAAGGTGACACCCATAACTTCTAACATTTTTTTTTTAAAGATTTTATTTATTTGACAGAGAGAGATAGCCAGAGAGGGAACACAAGCACGGGGAGTGGGAGAGGGAGAAGCAGGCTGGCTCTCCACTGAGTAGGGAGCCCGATATGGGGCTGGATCCCAAGACCCTGGGATCATGACCTGAGCCGAAGGTAGACGCTTAACGACTGAGCCACCCAGGCATCCCAACTTCTAATATTTCATTGGCCAGAGCAAGTTCATGGCTATGTCATCCTAATAAATGCAATCCTACCTTGTGCACAGAAAGGGTGTGATGGCACTGGTGACTACAACACTAGCCCTGGTTCTATGTGTTCAAAGAGGCAGATGTGGGGTTTGGATGTTCATGAGTTGTCTCCACAACTTTTAAAGGCAGGTCATATTCCTGCAGCTTCTTATAAACATATTATTCCATTTGTTTAAGTATTATGCTAATGAGCTAATGCTAATTAAATTTTTATTACAATTTTGCTCTGCTTCACCTCACTTTGTTTCTCAAATAAAACTTTTTTTCTAAGTCTAGTCTTTACTGAGAGTTCTAGAGGGGAGGGGGTTGGGGGATGGATTAGCCTGGTGATGGGTATTAAAGTGGGCACGTTCTGCATGGAGCACTGGGTGTTATATGCAAACAGTGAATCATGGAACACTACATCAAAAACTAATGATGTAATGTATGGTGATTAACATAACATAATATAATTTAAAAAATAAAAAATAAATAAAAAGTATAATATGGGAATTGAGATAAGTGATTAAGAATGGATTTACTCCTGGGGTACGTGGATGGCTCAGTGGGTTAAGCATCTGATTCTTGATTTTGGCTCAGGTCATGATCTCAGGGTTGTGAGATCAAGCCCTGTGTCCATGGAATCTGCTTAAGATTATCTCTCTCTCTCCCTTTACCCATCACCTCTGCTCACCCTGACTTGTGAACTCGCTCTCTCTTAAAAAAAAAAAAAACACAACAGATTTACTCCTTAAAAATGTCAACAACAATTCTTACTATGTTCATAGGGAGATGTTGAGCCAACTTGAACTATAAAACTCAGCATTATTTTCATTATTTGATTTTTAGAAGTATTTTTGTACATTTTAGAATCCAGGGCAACATTGGTTTCTATTTGTTAAATATCAAGACAAATGTTTGAAAGCTTATTATTTTGAATCTTTAAGCTAAATAAAGATCAAAGAGCCACTGTACAGTCCTTCTAGAAGGATGCACAAATTTGTCTTACACTGATTGGAAAGCGGACTGTCTTTTAAGAAAAGCTTTATGATTGCTGCAGAGCAGTGAGAACATTTGTCTTGTGTATGTATTCATGCAACTGAAATTGAACTCATTCAGATTGTAAGACTGGTGATATATTTGCAATACATTTTGAACATTGCCCTCCAGAGATAAAAGGGTGAATGGCCTAGTCACTTTTTAGACCTATAATTTTGGGCACCGTGCCCTGAAATGATTCTCTGATTCACTTATTTCTTGAGGCTTTGTTTCTGACGTGTTTCATTTGCTTTCTAAGTGCATTAATTAGTGGCATCTGAATCTCCTTCTTAGCACTAATATAAAAAAAAATCCTAATACTTACCATTATGGTTTATGGCTGTTAACATACAGCAAAAAAAAATTGTAAGGTTTTCTGCAGGCCCACAAGGCAGTGGGTGAACAGATGAATGGCCTTTGAACAAAATCAAAAGATCTGCATTTACCAACCTCTTTTCACGCAATTATCCATTTCACAATTATAGTTGATTATTTAAATTTCTAGATTCTAAATACATGTTTCACTTTTACTCAAGTATTTTGATATATTGCATTCTTGCTCTTCTTTTATTAAATGTTTCCTTTGTGAATAATTTATATATGCATTTGTTTTTCTTTTTTTTTTTTTTAGTATTATGTTATGTTAATCACCCAAATAGTTACTGAGTGTCTATCTTACTCTGTGGCAGGCTGCTGAGCTTTAACTGACCTGGGTCCCTCCCTCTCGAAGCTTGCTGTCTGGTAAGGGAGACAACCATTAATCAAATAATTGCACAGTTTAAAGTTGCTACCTTCCTAAGTTCTGTGAGCTAGAGGAACGTGGGGTGATTAGAGCATGTAACAGGGAGATCTCATCTTGTTGGGGTAGAGTGGCATGGTTGGGGAAATGCTCTCCGAAAAAAAGCAGGGTGGTTAGAGATCTGAAAGCGAGATGAACCAGGAGCAGGTGGGTATAAATTGTGTCCCGGCGAGGGGCACAGCCTATGCAAAGACGCCGGAATGGTAGGAAGCAGGGCGAGTCCTGAGAAGGGCAGCACCAAGAGCAGTAAGGGAAGCAGGGCCTCCTGCTGAGGAGGATGGAGAGGCCAGTTACAGTCATGTGCAGGTCTCCAGGGGTTTTTCATTAACCTGTGAACTAGGAGGCCTTTGAAAGTTTTTAAGCTGAAGAATAGTATGTAGTTTGAGTTTTGAAGAGGATCATTCCAATTGCTCTGCGAAGAAGGTTTGGAGCTGGGCAAGACCCATGCGGAGGTCAGGTGGGAGGATCTTGTTAACTCCTGGGTCCCAGATGACTCTAGCTTGTGTCAGGATGGTGATGGTGGTAAGAGGGACACGTGGCTATATCCTAATGATAATCAGAAAATAAAAGGACCTTGGTGATGAATTGAAAATAGAAATGAGATATCTATAACACAATTTTCTGAGGTCTGTTCTCAGTGCAGCCTGACTCAGGATTCAATGTCTGGCTGTTGAAACGAAAGTAGATTAAAACAAAACATCATTTATTTAAAATGTTCTCATGCATTAAAAATGGATGAATAACATATATGCTTATTAGTTCTATCCAGCTTAATCAATGCATTAATATCAGTATTTTGCAAAGAAAGGGAGAACTGGCCTTTGTAGATGGCACTAGCAAATTCTGTCTCGTTTGTGGAAGAACAGTCCACCTCTGACTGGTGCCTTGCTTTATTTGGCATGGCCTTTCCCCTTAGGCTGAGACTGTGCAATTGACAGCAAATGTGACCTTCATACAGGCTTGTTAAAAAATCTCTTCAAGAGAAATTGTATTCTGTTCAGAGAAGGACAGTGCCATTTTACTCAGGTGTGGATTAGGTAACAGTAAATCATGATGTAATAATGTTGAAAGCTACATCATCAACTGGGACTCATAAAAGAGAAATTATTTCGCATAGACTATACAAATGTGCTCAAGCAGCTCCATGTGGCTGATTTGCCTAACACCATTTCAAATCTTTTTCTTTCAAGTTTTCGATGGTAGATAAGCACTTTTTGTTTATATAAGATTTATCATTCTTCTGACTGATATCCAAGGACTTCCCTAAGTCACAGAACTAGTTTTCCAGAAAAATCTATTCATTCTGATACAAAAATCTTTCAACTGAGAAGTTGTATGAAGGCCTCTTCCCCTTCCCTCCCCTTCCCTCCCCACCCCTCCCCCCTCCCCTCTCTCTCCCCATTGTCTTCCCCCTCCCCTTCCCTCTCCCCTTTCCCTTCCTTTCCTTTTTGTTTTAAAGAGTGACCACTTCTCTTGGTAATGCCTCCTTTGGTAATGACTCTTTCATACCCACATAATTTTATCCATCAGAATATCTGTTGACTTTTTTCAAACTATATCCAGAATCCAGACAATTCTCACCACGCTCACCATTATAGTTCTCATCTAAATCAACATCACCTCCGTCCTATGTTATTGCAAAGACCGTCTGACTAGTCTTCTGGCTTTTAAGCTTGTCCCAGGGTTATATTCTCCCCCACAGTAGTCAGTGACCCCTGAAAAATGTCACCTGTATCATAACACTCCTATAAGTAAATGGTTCTTTGGCTGCCCGTCTCAGAATAAGGGCTATGTTCCTATCATAGTCCTTAAGACACTGCATTATTACTGCCCTTGAGCTCCCTCTGCCCTCATCTCCTCCGCTCTAGGGACACCCTGCCCTCCTTGCTCCCTCAGACATACCAAGCATCCTCTCACATTAAGACCTCTTTGTTGCTATTTTTAATGCCTGAATGTTCTGCCTCTAGGTATTGTGATTTGTTCCTTCACTTTCTCTAGGGATGTACTCAATCACTGTCTGATCAGAAAGTCCTTTTCTGACCACCTTATCTAAAATAGCACCTTTCATATCATTCTCAATTACTTTTTCCTGCCTTAATTTTCCTTGTTGTACATATCAGTCTCCTAGTATATATGTGTGTTTATCTACCTCTTCATTTCTTTTTTCCACTAGAATGTAAGCCCTATAATAGTTGGGACTTTGACTTTTGTTCAGCCTAGCATCCCCAGCATTTAGAATAGTGCCTCATATCTAGCAGGTGCTCAATTACTTTTGGTTTAAGGGATAAATATTGCTATAGTTCACATTTTCTAGAAGCTGGAAAAGGCAAAAAACTGATTGTTCCCTAGAGACTCCTGAAGGAATGCATCTCTGTCCACACTCTGATTTTAGGATGTCTGACCTCCAGATCCATAGGAAAATACATTTGTGTTGCTTTAAGACACTAAATTTGTGGTTAGTTTGTTTCAGCAGCAATAAAAGCTAATAAGCTTCTGGAGCTATCTAAGATGCACTCTCATAATCCTTTATAACTCAGTGTATGGATTAGAATTGGCATGCATGGTAGTCATTAGTATTGTTCACTAAATATTTCTGGATTTTCTTTTGGGTATATGGCAAAATTAAGTGTTACTGCCACTTGAAGTTAGGTGTGACCGTGTGGCTTTCTTAGAAAGGTGACTAGTTAGTGGAAGTAGCATATGTAACTTCCAGGTAATGTTTATAAGCCTTTGCAAATTTTGCCATCCTGCCATTTTTCTTGTTGTTGAAGTGTTGAATTTTTTTAAATATTTATTGATTTATTGATTGATTTATTGATTTATTGATTTATTTGAGGGGTGAGGGAGAGGGAGAGAGAATCCCAAGCAGACTCAGCACTGAGCATGGAGCCCAAGAGGGCTTGATCCCCCGACTCTGAGATCATGACCCTGAGATGACAACCGGAGCTGAAACCAAGAGTCTGATGCCCAACTAACTGTGCCACCTAGGTGCCCTATGAGTGTAGAATCTTGATGAAATATACTCTCTGTGAGCCTGGTCCCCTGAGAAAACAATGAGCACATTCCCTCAGCCAACACCAATGGACTTGTAGTGTGAATGAGAGATCATTTTGTGTAAGCTGGCTGAGATTTGGGGGCTACTTTGTCAAAATAGCAAAATCTAGCCCAAAGTTTCTCAAACATTTTGATCTCAGGATCTTTTTTACAGTCTTAAAATTTCTTGACATCCCAAAGAGTTCTTGTTTATGTGGGGTTATCTATCAATTTTTATCATGCTAGGAATTAAAATAGACATTCTTAAATAATTCACTTAAAAATAAATCCATTTTATGTCCACATAAAATATTACATTTTATTTATTTTTTTTAAAGATTTTATTTATTTGACAGAGAGCGACAGCAAGAGAGGGAACACAAGCAGGGGGAGTGGGAGAGGGAGAAGCAGGCTTCCCACAGAGCAGGGAACCTGATGCGGGGCTCCATCCCAGGACCCTGGCATCACGACCTGAGCTGAAGCAGACGCTTAACGACTGAGCCACCCAGGTGCCCCACATAAAATATTTTAATGAAAAAACTATATTTTCCAGAGCAAAAATAGTTTTATGAGAAGAGTGGTCCTTTTATACATATCTGTAAATATTTTTAATGTTTGGCTTTATATGAGCTAGCTGGATTCCCATTATCTGCTTTCACAGCATTCAAACTGTTGCCATTTGTTACGGTTGAAGTATATGGAAAAGATCCAGCCTCACGTAATTATACAGTTGTAAAGGGAGAAGTATTTTAATACCCTTTTCAGATAATTGTGGATATTCTTCTTTGATACTACACTAGAACTCTGTAAGTAGTAGTTTTTTAAAGGTGAATTGCAATGTGGAACTGAAATCATATTAATGAACTTCTCATACTGATACATGAGATTCATTGGTCTGTCTTTTTATTATTCACGTATAATTAACATACAGTATTATATTAGTTTCAGGTGTACAATATAACAATTCAACAATTCTAGACATTTCTCAGCGTTTGACCATAAGATTCATAGGAGAAAACATAAGCAGTAATTTCTTTGACAGAAGCCATAGAAACGCTTTTCTAGACGTGCCTCCTCCTGCAAGGAAAACAAAAGCAAATTTGAGCTATTGGGACTAAATCAAAATAAAAAGCTTCTGCATAGCTAAGGAAACTATCAGCAAAACAAAAAGGCAACTTACTGAATGGGAAAAATATTTACAAATGACATATCTGATAATGGATTAATATCCAAAATGTATAAAGAACTTACTCAACTCAAAACCAAAAAAATAATCTAACTAAAAAGGGGCAGAGGACCTGAATAGACAATCCCCCCGCAAAAAAAAAAAAAAACAAAAAATACAGATGACCAAAAAACACATGAAGAGATACTCACTGTCACTAGTTACCAGAGAAATGTAAATCAAAACCATAATGAGAAAGCACTTTACACCTGTCAGAATGGCTAAAACCATTAGTCTATCTTGCACTTTATTTTTTTTATTATGTTATGTTAGTGTACAGTACATCATCAGTTTTTGGTATAGTGTTCCATGATTCATTTTTTGTGTATAACACCCAGTGCTCCATGCAATACATGCCCTCCTTGAGACCCATCACCGGTGGGCATATGCATGACTCTGGAAAGGCATCCATTTGTTCATTTGAAAAACCTTGACTCACTGAGTTTTGCAGATCTTCTAAATGTTAACACATTTCATTATATACTATCAAAATCCAACATTCTTTAGTATTGCTAACAAAACCTTTAGAGAAGATTTTATGTATCAAGAAATTGTTAAGATACTGTCGCCAGATACACGTTTTACAAAATTCTAGCATTCTTTTGAATATTCAAATTCCATTGAGTTTTTTAAAATTTTATTTTATTATGTTAATCACCATACATTACATCATTAGTTTTTGAT